GGCTGTAGTCGGAATGGTAAGCATGTTCCTTACGCTTCTAAATGAAGATAAGTAGCTGGTTTCATGGAGGGTTAATACTTAATGGCCCTGTTCTATCCACTTACTCTTCCTCTTGAATCTCTTTGGATTTAAAATATCAATATTTTCTCCTAATAGAACACAAAAACTTTTTATGTGAAATAAAAGTGGCAATGCTTTCATTTGATATGGGATGTCATTTTACATATTAACACATATAACAATTTTCTTGGATATCAAAACTTATTAATGTATATATCATATCTGGGACTAACCTATGGGTGGTGTGATTACATATGATATTTATTTCCTTAATGATCTTTTCTACATTGTCAATTTCTTAGACTTAATATGTACTATTTTTATAATCCGAAAAATACAATTAAAATATAAAAAGCTAACCTGATAGTCCTCATTGAAATGTATATGTGAAGAATCAGATCTTATAAGGTGAGAAAAAATAATGTAAACTCAAGTTCTCTTTAGAACTTCACCTAATTAAATAAAGAAGAAAATGTAATTGATATCTTCATGGAAATTTTTGTGTTTTTTTAAATAAATCATTTTTTAACACAATATGGACCTCACTTTCTCCTCAATATATATAGTGGGCTATCTCTATCTGACATATGAGTCTTAAATAAGACAATGTCCCTCCTTTTAATACATATATAAATTGTAACTTAATTAACATAATTTTAACAATAATTATATCTTTTTCAGCCAGTGCCCATAATAATATGGGGCATGGATACAGCTTGTAGCTAGTAAGTAAGTAAATAAATAAATCTGGTAGAAAAACTGCAAGTTCTCCCCATCTTTTAAGGGAAGGCCAGAGTTAATGTTAACAAAAATAGAAAAGTCACAATTTTTACTTCACTTTCTCCATTTGATGAAGATAAAAATAACTGATAAAGTTCCAGGTAGACAGATTCAGAATACTTTCTCTAACTGTAAAGTTGGTTCCTTGAGGTTTCATTTCTCACAGGAAGGGGCTATGCGGAGGACAGGTAGAAAGAAACAAATATTTATAGTTCCGTGTTCTTTTACTCTTCAGTGGTTAAAATAATTGTTCCTAAAGATAATCAAAGATTCTTTAGGTAATCACAAATGAATTTTTTTTCTCCCTTGAAAGACCTTTACTATTATATCTCTTATGTCGGCACTAGGATTCTCAATCAATTTTGAGATGCTTAAGGCAGGCTAGTTGCAAATAGAGCAAATTTCTCTTCCCTTCCCTTCCCTTCGGCTGGACCAGTTGTGCTAGATGTTATACTATTTCAAAAATAAAGGCTTAGTTTTTTCCTTTTTTCCCCTCACTTTGTTCAGTCACTGTTTACAGAAACAGAGGTCCCCACCAAAGTACCTAAGCAAACTAACAAATCAGAGAAGTCAGGATCAGGAGTGACATTTCTGCTTTTTCCTTTCCACCACCTTTCTTCTCTTTGCCCAAAGAAATGCTTGCCATTGCTTTCACAGTTGCCAAAAGCAACTGAGGTAAAGGGATCACCACCTTAAGTAACACCAGGGCAAAGCCACTTTATTTCACTCTGCATGGGTTAAAGAGTATAAATGCTAATATGCTCATACAATTGCATAAACAATGTCCCTTGAATTATATCAGTTAAAAAGGAAATTCTATTAGTCACTCTGCAATAAATTATAGTTTGATGAAAAATAATTAAGCTAATAATAGTTTATAATGTTATTCAGGTTCATTTTCTAAAAGAACTGGAATTTTGAAAAGGTTTAAAATTTTCTATGTTTCTTCTAAACAACTATTTTTTTTAAATTGATACCTCATCTTTGAATTATATTTTGTCCATCCTTTCACTCCTATGCTTTTATCACATAAAATAGGGTAATAAAAGCGTTCCACACAATATGAAAAGTCTGCCCTGTCTTACACAAAAACGACAGTGAGTGTGTAAACTCAAGATTCAAGTTCTACTCTGGAACTCATCTTAGAGGCTAATCACACTACTCAAATCACAGAGAATCAGATATATGGAGAATATGCAAGTGTTTTCCTTTAACTTGAGGAAACACAATTGAACTACAGTGAAAACATCTAAAAATAACTGCAGCAGAATTATAAACATCAACATCATACAGTAAAAAGAGTAAATGTTAAACATTTGTCATGTCTCAGTGAAGAGAGTTGAAAATCTCAACACTGAACAGAGAAAAAAAATTCAGAGCCTATGACAATAGAGATAGTAAAATTATAACCAGCTTTTTTTCTAAGTTTGTTTAAAAAAAAACATGGAAAGTGTAATTGTTATATTTTTAAAAGCTAGTTATCGTGAAGATGTGGGGCAGTTTTTAGTTATTGGAAAGTTAATTATATAGATTCTAATGCCCCCTGACTGAACACAATGTTTGGCTCCATATACATGTTGAGCTTAGCATTCTAGAACATAACTATCTGGGAGTTTATTTTGTTTTAGAGGAAGGTGTGAGAAGAATACAATCAATCATGCTTCACTGCAGTCAACGGACACATCTCGAACAGACCTATGGCCGCCACTGCCTGCACCTAGTGAAGCACCACTGAAGTGTCCACCCCTTATCCATTCCAAAGAATGCATTTGTTTATTTTCTTTCATTTCAAGAAGACTTAAAACTTGAGAAAAAAATCAAAGAGGCAGTTTAAAGTCTCTTTAACATACCATTCTACTATAAAAACAGAAGACAATGTTGTCTGATGTTAACAACAATAAAAAGACAAACAAATCCTAAATCGATTTAAAAGGCCCCAGAAGGAAAGTGGTTTGTCCCTGTTTGAAGTTTTCTCTCATCCACCTATTTGAATGGGTCCCCAAATCTGTCTTCTGGCTTTTCTAAGATAATTCAGTGCCTGGTCTACTCTAGTTACTTACTAACCCTGCTCATTCCTTAAGTGCTCGGGTTTCCTAGGGCTCACCTTCTCTCTCCTTTACGCCCTTTCCTCTAACTCATCAGCAACCAACATTTCAACTATGAACTATATAAATGCTTTTCCCAAAACTGTCTTCTTTCCCGTAAGCACCAAACTCATCGACTCATCTACCCAGAGGTCCTACGGGTACTTCAAGGTCAACATACCCCTCAACAGAACTCACTTGTTTCTTTTCTTTTCTTTTTTTAATCTCACAGAACATTGACCCAGTCTCCCAAGTTATAAATTTCAGCCTTCATATATATATAAAAGAACACTAAATATTATAAATCTAACCTTCACACAGCAAAAATTAACTGTTTTAAAACCTAGATCTGAATGTGCCATTCCTTAGCTTTAAAAAAAAAAAAAAAGGCCAAAACACAGTGTCACCTTCTTGTTATGGTATCCACGGTCAGTGTGCCTTTCCATGTCTAGGTACTTCTGTCTCCTGCCTCACTCTCCAAGGTACACCTGTGCTCCACAATGTGCAGTACTCACTGGCACTCGCAAGTAGTCTTCCCTCGGTATCTGTGGGAGGGTTGGTTCCAGGGCCCCCACCCCCCGTACCAAACTCAGCGGATGCTCAAGTCCCTTTCCTAAAATGGCGTATATTATAAACCACCTCTAGATTACTTATAAAACCCAATACAATGGAAATGCTATGCAAATAGTTGTTATATGTATTGTGCAGGGATCAACTTTGTGCAATCTTTAAAAATATTTTCAATCCAAGGTCGGTTGAACCCACAGTTGCAAAACCCATGGATATGGAGGGCCGACTGTATACCATTCACTCATTCAGTAAATACTGATCAAGTACCATCTATGTGCCAGGCACTCTTCTAAACACTGAGGATGTCACAGTGAGCAAAAACAAAGTTTGTGCCCTCATGGGCTTACAACCCTGTGGCAGGAGACAGACAAAAGCAAACAAATATATAATACATGAGGTGGTGGTAAGTGCTATGGAGAAAAAGATCCATCTAGAAAAGCAGCTCGGAGCAACACAGCAAACAGCATATTCTGAACATTACAGAATCTAGCATGTCTTCAAATGCACGCTCATACCCCTACACCCCTTAATTTATTATGTTTCAATTTAAATTACAATTTCAAAGCACAACACCACGAATACACTGAAATGTACAGTCGTTGAGAGGCATAACAGAATAGCTCAATTACAATAATTTTATTTCTTGAGATTAAAGTTGATAGAATCAAGAGTGTTTTTCTTTGAGTCTAGTGTTTTAGTTGGCTCTTGGATGCACCCAAAAAAAGTATTATTAGTACTGGCACATTTCAAGTGATGTCATGAGATTAGGATCTATAAAACTTAAGTACTCATGTAGAATTAGTCTCACTGTTATTTCTATATTGTCTCTCTAACTATACTGTGGTCTCAAATTTAGGGCCTACAATTAAGACTCCAAAGTAATGCCAGAACATTAGAGACAGAAGCTTTTTACTGGTGATTTAAAAACAGTTGTTCAATTGTCTGAATCATTTAAGTGCTTAATACGTCTCAAATATTTACAAAGAGCTAAAACAACTGGAGAAAACTACATAAGAGCACTGTGTAAGATATAGGATATTACTAAAGAATTTGACAATGACCCAAAGAAAATTTACACAGACATTAATTGGCCTGTTTCATACGCAGAAAATAACAATGATTTGCCTCACCGTCTAAATAATAATGCATACTTTAAAAGACTTTAAAGGAATTCAGATTTTCCTCTGAGAATCTTCACTATTATTATATTACATTATATTATTATGTCATGTCCATTCTCATGAATGAATGCTGGTGTTTTAGTACTCATATTAATCTGTAAAGAAAACTAAAGCATGTTTTTCAGATACAGAAATCTAAAATGTCTTAAACTTCCAAATAACTAAACAGAAATTAAGTTCACTGTGATGGAAAAAAAGGTAGCTACCATTGCATTGTAAGGGGCCAGGGCTTATGTTCTATTTAAAAAAACAAAACCAAAACAAAAGGTAGCTAACAGACAAATCTCACTTCATTCTCAAGGCTGGGGAAAAAGAATATACTTACTGCATCCGTGATGTCTATTTCGTATACCCTTTGGAAAGTCCTGCGCTCAAAGAAAACAAGTTTGCCGCTGCCACATCCCCTTTGAACAGATGTACCGGTTACTATGAGTTTATCATCTGGACTGAAACAGCAGTCAGTCCTACAGACAAAAAGAGTGTCTAAGTTTAAGCTTATGACCCCACAACAATGCAGCAATAATGCGCGAGTTAAATAAAATATAAGCAAGATCACTGTAATAAGTGGTAACTCTATATAGGACTTGCAATAAGTCAAGCACTTAAATTAATTCGCTTAATCTTCACAATAATCCTATGAGGTAGCTATTATTATCCCCATTTTACTGATGAAGAAACTGAGACAGAAAGATCACAAAAGTAAGTGGTACGGCTGGGATTCAAACGCAGGCCATGTGATTCCAGAATCTGTGCTTTTAACTTCAACACATTAGAATATGTTTTAATGTAAAGAGACCTCAGGAACAACTCCCTGTAGACAGTATCTGTACACAAATAGACATCGTATGACTAATGTCTAAGCAGTGATTACTTTGACCAGTTTTGGAACTATTTTTTACCACCACCACCACTCAAATAATTTAAGTTTCGTCGAGTCAAGCACCATGAAATGAGGAGCAGGCTGCTCCGCTGGAACCTAACTGGTGGCTGTGATTCAATAGCTCTTGTTATTAGAGATCTGGCCACTGACTGTGAATAATCTAAGTCATGATCCAAACGCACTGTGTAGTTAGCATTACTTGTAGCAGGCATAAGAGCTCAAAAATTCTCATCGGCTCTAAGCTCATGTTTGTCTGTCAGTCTTAACAGACAAAGGCCGTGTACAACAGATTGTTGTCTGTTGCCTGTTACAAGGCTTCCTCTGCCTGATGCTCCCCTCCCCTTCACGCCTCCCTGCTGGCCATTATTTAGTACAGATGTAAAATTTTATTTCTACCAAAACAGAAAATTTTGCTTAGGCACCAACTGTAGGACGTAGAGGTCAAATTCCATCTCAGCTGCCTCAGAAAAAAATCTTTAAATGCTTCACTTGTCAACTTAATACGATGGAGATAAGAGTAGAGTGTTGGGCTACCCAGAGCAAGACAGTCTGCACAAATCCAGGTTACTGAATGTCTGACCAGAATGAAGGTAAAAAAAATTTAAGAAAACTATATAATAATGCTTACTAACTACAAAAAACTGCTTTGATGGTAAAGGGTTCAAATTTTTAAAAGACAACAAAAACGTAGGTCTGCCTTGTTGTTTATACTATATTAAAAGGACAAGTCAGCCCGGCCGGGCGTGGCTCAGCGGTTGAGCGTCGACCTGGGATCCGGGCGATCGGGGTTTGATTCCTGGTCAGGGCACATGCCCGGGTTGTGGGCTCGATCAATGACTCATCATTGATGTTTCTATCTCTCTCTCTCCATCTCCTTTCCTCTCTCTGAAATCAATAAAGATATATTTAAAAAAAAAAAAAAGGACAAGTCAGTCCCTTAAAACATTTTTACTACCCCAAGACCTTTGTGTGCATCCAACATATACACACAAACACAGGGATGCACATCATTTCAACTTCAGCAAAATGTTCTATGGTCTGAAGAATGCACAAAATGCAAAGTAAAAATAAAATGCATTTTTCAAAACACCTATTTCAATCACTCTTCAAATTCCTTTTCTAGAAGATCTAAAAGACATACAATATAAATTAACATAGAGGTGAATACATTTCTCTTCCATCCTCTTATGTGTATCAAATATTACAAATAGGCTACTTACATTGGGAACATGGTGGGAAGACCCGAGGCTGAGAAAAGTGGCTTATTAAACTGTCGGATGTCCCATAATTTTAATGTATCATCACCTGATAGAGGAACAAAAAGGAAAAAGAAAAGACAGAAAGTGAATTGTGCATGAAAGCACCAGTTCCAAGTTCGAGTTTGCTAAACTTAGTGTACAACTATCAGAAGGCAGAGAAAAGGGAGGAAGGGAGATGCCCATAGGCAGGTTTATCTTTTTAACTGCTTGGGGAGCTTGAAAGCAGTAGTTTCGAGAAAGGTAGAAGACATATGATAATGCACCGGCCTTCTAGGAATTACTTTCCAGATGGATGTAGCATCTGTAGGTAGAAGGAACCCTGGGGAATCTACTCTAAGGAGTGATTTTAGAGCAGATGCTAGTTCCCCTATGGTGGACTTGAGCATAACCTGACTTCTTAAGAGGATACTAATTTAACAACCATCAGGACTGAAAATAGCTCAGTTCACAATAGATTCCTTCTCCCTCAAGTGTGTATTTGAAGCTATCCATTAACATTAATGAGGGCGAGCCATGTGATTCCTTTCCCTCCAGGTCTGTACCTGTGACGACCATTCTTTGCTTTGCTGGGGAGTACAACTGCTCCAAGCTATTTAAAATATCATGCACATTCTTTTAAGAATCAGATTTTTATATTTCTGTAGGGCTACTAACTAATTCCTGACCACAATGAAAGCGAAGACTCATTTAAGTAATGTCTGCTGTTCTTTCTCCCCAGTGCCACAGTTGAGACCTGCCTCAACCCCCGGGCCCAATAAGGAAACAGGATCAGGTGCAAGTGAGGTGAGTGGCGAGTTCAATAAAAATCCCCATGCTTCCCTGTGACCCTGCCTCTGAAACCCAACTTTTGGCAGGTACGCTAACACACGACAGACTGGACTGGGACTTGCTTGCACTGGAAGAACTTTGCAAGACTCACCTTTTTGTTTCAGTCTTAAAAAAAATGTTACATATCCTTCCTCACAATTTTCAAACAGTAAGAAAACATTAACCTCCATTAAACAGTTTCCCTAATCTGGCAGGTTCTGGAGCTAGTAGGAGTACCTTACAACACCCTGGGGACTCTGCTGAATAGACTTCCATCTGCCATATTCTACACGCCCAGGAGGGAAAGGGTGAAATACAGTACACATGCCATGTCCAAGACTGGCTCGTTACCCAATAGCTACTACAGGATGGGAGGAGACGGTAAGACTTATCACCAGAACAACAGACTGAAATGGAATCTGTCCTATACTTCTGAGGGAGTGATTACCAAGTGAGTGGAGGCTGCCTATTTGAGAATCCTCTGGGAAGAATTTGCAAGCTATGCTCCCCTCTAATTCCCCTCTTCTCTCCCCACTCTGCCTGGGAGATTTGGGTATACCACTCTAAAAGCTCGAGAGTGAATGTGAGCCTAAGTAGGGCAATTACCATCTGAAAAACCTTCCCAGGGGATTCAGAAGCCCTCCTGGGGTAAGAACCGCTGTTTGCAAGGAAAGAGTATACATAGTCTTAATTAAGAGTCATCTTTGGATTCAAGGTGCAAGTTAGATTGGATGAACCAAAATACATATTTTATACACACCCACTTTTACCATGTATACCATAAATGGGAAATACATGTACATGTATTTGATGCAGTTTAAGTACGTGAGGGTAGTTTGGATATAATGGATAAGGCTTCTTTGAAGGAAAGAGAATCTGAATGAAATTCCTGAGGGTAAAGGGTGAAAGGACCTGGACTGGTTAAAGCGGGGGAGCTGTGCAAATCTCATCTCCTTCTCACTTCCACCACGCTCTACACCAGGCTGTAAGTTCTTTCAGGGAAGGGAACCCTGTCTTTGATGTTCACAGTTTATACCCATCACCTAGCACAGCGCTAGCTGATATAGTCCCTGAGTAAGTGAATGAGCAACCACATGGAGAGCTGCTAGATTAACGTGGCCTCTAGAATAAAGACTAAATCCTTTATGTGGTATTTAAGGCCATCTGCAACATGGCTCCAACCTACTTAGCTGCTGTTTCTTTCCTCTAGCCACCCGTGGGCCTACCGGAAGATCCTCAGTCATGGCCCACACTTCCCCACAATGCTTTGTTCGCAAGTTGCTCTCTCTATTCTCTTATTTCTATCAACCTACAGCTTATCCTTATTGTGAGAAAGATATAGCAAAAAATTAGAAACAATCTCTATTCAACCACATGAGTATGGATAAGTAAACAAATAACATCCAGGTATACAATTTTTTTTTTTAACTGAAATGAGTAGTGTTTGACCTGAAAAAAAAAAAAAAATCAATGGTCAGCAAATAGAAGACTTTGAAATACCAAACCCAGAATTAGAAAATGGTATAAAAAATACAAAAAACCACCTACAAAATTCCATAAGGTAGAGGCAATGTCATCCTTGGGAGTTTCAAACTCAGAGGGAATTTGAAGCTAAAGTAAAAACTTAGGCACAAAAGTACGTATTTTCTAAATTTTACTTGATACCTTTTAATAAAATAATATTGCCAGGTTGGACACCCATTTTAATAAAAAAAAATATATATCAAACTGGCAAAGGTCCACTAATCAAAGGCCAGCTGGCTTTCCTAAGTGCCAGAATATTAGTACACCATTTGTTAAAGTATGATCATTTCATATATAGAAACATCAGAAAGGAAGTTTTTAACCTACCTCCACGAGAGGCAAGAACATTACCATCGTAGGAAAAAGCCACGCACGAAGTGTCTGTGCCCGGGTCATGAGCCTGTTTATAGTGGAATTTAGGATGAACCTATTTGAGAAGAAAGCAAAGTGTTAACATTTCCTCCGAATTCAGATGAGAGCATTTTTGTGACAAGAATATTTCACTTTATCATCCAGAAAAACGATACATATCTATCTACATGTAAAATATTAATTTCACCTGATTATGGTTTTCTTTATTCTGGGAAAAAATGTTTCAAAAGGCTTTTAATAACATCCAATTGCTTTAATAAGAGGCACAAAAGAGATAAGGTAAGTCTCAGTAGAAGATATTTTCCAGACCTCCTTAGTAAGCTCTGAGCAACTCAAGATAACCACAGCACTTAGGTTTTCATCCTATACTTACAAAGTATATTATATAGTTATTGGGACCATTTCTTATAGTTATCTGAAAGTAAATATAAATAAAATCACAACTGAACATACTATTTATTAAGTCCAAAACATCACTGCATGCCTAGTAGACAGACACTGTGCACATGGCTGTAGGTCTTGAACTATCTTTAATGTGCCTGTAGGATAATGTTGCTGGTGGTAATTGATGATGATGACAGTTAACCCTTTCACAATGCTTATTATATCCTAGGTACTAGATCCTTTATTATCTCGCCTATTTAATTCTCACAATCACTCTACAGTTTAGGTTCTACCATTATCGTCTCCATTTTACTGAAGCACAGAGACTTGAGCACTTTGTCCAAAGTGACACATCTAGTAAGACGTAGAGCTGGGAGTATGAACCAAAGAGCCTGCTCTTAAACACTACATTATACTCCTCTACTAATGTATGTTGGTAGTCTTTTTAATTCCAGTGTCACTTCGACACAGACTTACAACAGGAACTCTACTCCACTAATCTTGTCACTCAGTTATGATTCAGTACAGGCCAAAGTACTAGGCAGTCAATTATCCCAGATCCCCCAAGCTGGATATTTCCATAGAGAATGGACAGGGATACTGCTAGTGATGACAGCATGCATGTCTCTCCTGGATTCCCAGGTAGAAGAACACAAGTCATGCCTCTCTGATGATGCTGCAGAAATCCTAACAAAGGACGAGTCACAAACAGCTCATGTACGTCAGCCTCCAACAATATCACTAACACCCCATCACTGAGCTTCTTTCTAAAGCTGCCAATAATGAAGAATACACCACCTTTCAAAAGCAGGCAGGTCTTTGTTTAAATAATTGGTCTATATTGAGTTAAAATTGCCCTCTCTCTTCCTCTGGGTCACAGTATTAGAAATTTGTACTAAAGACAGTTATCATGCTTCTACCTTTCACGAGTACAAGTAATTCCTTAGTTCAACATTTTTTTTATTAGGCATCACCTGTATGGCAGACACAAGGTTAAGCAGGGAAACACCAATGTGCCGAGATAAATGTGCCTCCTGCCCTCAGAGCTGACAAACAGTCCCCTGGAAGGCTATGGGTGAGCACACAAAGTGACAAGTGGGACAATGGGGAAGTATAGAGTGGTCCCCGAGCACTGAGCAGAGGTTCTGAGCCCAAACTTGAGAATGGGGGAAAGGGGGGGCATAAGGAAATCAGAGACCCAGTTGTCAAAGCAGGAATTAGCAGACAAAGCGGCAAGATGTGGGGACAAGGAGGAGAGCACCGCGTCGTGGTCGGCAGAACTGTGGCCCCAAGACCTCCGGCCCCGGTGTAACGCCCATGAGTATGTTACTCTACGTGGCAAAAGGGACTTTGCAGGTATAATCAAGGCTACTAACTAGTTGATCTTAAAACGGGGAGACTCCTGGAATATCCAGGTGGGAATGATGCAGTTACTAAGTCCTTGAAAGAAGAGCCTACTCCTGGCTGAGGGCAGAAGAGGAGGCCATAGAGAAGAGTGAATATATGCCACAAAGGAAGACCCACCCAAGGTATTTTCTATCACTATATAGATCTACATCTTAGTGCAACACCTTTTAAAGTAATAACAAATGGCTGTATATTAATAATTAATATTTCAAGGACAGGGAGAGGCTGCACTCAAAATAATCTATTTCCTCTTTTAAAGGACCTAATGAAATAAAGAGGCAGAATGCTTCGCATGAGATGGACAGCTCACAGATTTTGTGTCAAAAGTACTTTTATTATTAACTTCACTTTAACCAGTAACAAAAGTGTATTCCAATGAGATAAAATACATAGCCAGAGGAGATCTTAAACTTCCATAAAACATCAACACTGACCAGCCCACGATGACAAAGACCCTCGCACTCTGAAAACAGAGCCAGCCTGACTGGAAAGCACTCGGGCCGAATGTGGAAATCCCAGACTGCACCTCTCCTTTACCTGTTCTCACAGTCATCCTAGGCAAGAGCATCGTTCTTCAGGAAGGGTGAGCTATTAACTCCTTTCATAGGTTTCCTATTTTAGGAGTGCCTCATGTTATGATTTGAGAGGATCGAGTCTCAGATGTTCAGTGATGGAAAATGCAAGCACAGAAACCTAGAGTTTTAGAGGCCCTCTCTGAGATCGCACAGTACAAACTCCCACCTGGTGAAAACTTTTGAGCAGATGGTTGCGGAGCCTCTGGAGGTACGGAACTCACTACATAACAAGCAATGTCAGGCCATTTCTGGGAGCTCTAATTGGCAACACCCTTCTTAAACTGGGTCCTAGATGCCCTCCTTCTAACATCTATGTATAAGTCCTGGTCCCACCTTCTGTGGCTACATTGACTAATTCTAGTTTTTCTTCTCTAATGCAGTCTGCCAAATTCTCAAAGAAAAATATGACGTCTTCCACAAAGTCTTCAGTACATTTAAAAAAAAAATTCCACAATGTTTGTCACTTCCCAAAATTCAAAGTCTTTCATTTCCTTACATCCTAAATCACCCAAATGTTCTCTGGCAGTGCCAATGGTCAATAGTTTATACCTAGCGGCTGCCTAGATCCCAATATCTGTCTATCGGTCTAGTGATTGTTCATCAATGTGAGAGGAAAAACAGCCCTAGAAATGATCAAAATATGCTTTGTAATTGATAGAAACAATGGAATAAACTATTTTAAGGGAAAAATTTTTAATGAATTGCTGAGCTAAAGACAGAAAAAAATCTAATGAAAAGAATCCTGGTCCTTTAGCCAAGCCGAATTAACCTAAAATTTCAACTTACTACATTTTAGTTTGACCCTGGTCAAATTGCTTAATCTTTCTGTTTCTGAGTTTACTAATCTTTAAATAACATGCCCTACACATTGTCCCACCCCTACCCTTCTCCCCAGCTCCCAGAGACTGGGTGACATTTCACCTATCTCCCTACCTTATGTCAATACCACAGATTTAGTTTCCATCTTTGTCTATTTGCCTATCTGAACATTTCATATAAATGAAATCATACAATATGCTACCCTTTGTGACTGGCCTCTTTCACGTAGCATGATGTTTTTGAGGTCCATCCATGTTGTAGTATGCATCGGCACTTCATTTCTTTTTATTGTCAAATAATATTCCATTGTATGGATGTACCACATTTATTTATCCACTCATCAGTTGATGGATATTTTAACGCTCCTGTCTGTCCTCTCTCTTTCAGAAGGGTATGACCTGCATCATGCTCTGACTCTCTCCAGCTTCTCAGGCTCCCTCTCCATTTCCCCTTTAAGGCCCTTCCCCAGTAAATCTCTCATATGTTAATTCTGTCTTGGTGTCTGCTCCCCAGAGGACCCAGACTAACACAAGTGGTGCCAGAAGTGATCCGACAACACAGGTGGTAAGAGGAGAATCTGGGACATGGGCCTAAAAGGAATGTGGGGTGCACATACACTCTAGCACTTGACAGTGGTCCAACTGCTCAGATTTCACTGGAGGTGACCGGAGAAAACTTCCTGGTGCAGAGGAATGTCCTTCTCGGTAAAATGTTTTAGGCATTTAAAAGATAGGGGAGGAACGATGACAAAGACAATGGTGTTGGCTGGTTACTGCTAAGTCATATGGATACCCTTCAGAGGGCTAATGAGAAACCAAGGGCCAGTAATAGTGACAGACTAAATGGGAGAACATGAGGTCCACTTTAGTTGCTTCCAAAGAGACCCTCATCTGCTGTAGTGGAAGAGCAGACACAGATGAGCAACAAATAAGAGAGATCTGGTAGTTAGATTTATGGAGCTCCAGAGACATTTAAGTGCTCAGCCAAGGCAGGTCTGTTATTGTAAGGTCAGGGCTCTAGCTGGGAAAACCTGAGATCCTGGAACATAAGGATAGAATGTTTGGATGGATGCCCATAACCTGCTGCATCTGCAAAACCCCTGGAACACTCACGGCTTACAGAGGTGGCTCGCTTTTGCCTAGTGAGAGCTAGAACTTCCTTTGTGCTAGAAGATGCTACAACTGTTCCACCCCCCACAAGGCAGCAAGCACCTTCTCTTAGGACCTGCTCCTACCTCTTCTTTGGGCTGCTAGGCCAATAACTAGGGTTGAAACCCAGCATCACTCAGCTGGGGAAGTGGCTGGGGCAGATAAGGGAGGAAAGAGATTACACAGAAAAAGAGATACAAGAATTAGCTAGCAGCTACTGGCAGAAGCCATGAAGCACCTTGAGCTTTCAATTTTGACGGTGCTTAATCAAGGGGGCTTCAATGTAAGACTAGAAAAGCAGGATTCACTGATTTAGGGACATTTTTGGACAAGGACACCAGGGGATAGGGCAAACTTGCTGCTGGAATGCTATTAAAGGCCTGAAAAAGTGATATCCAACGTTGAGTAAAATAAAAACACCCAAATGCCCTGGCAGATGACAGGGAAAACAGTAAGAAGACGGGGGAAGTGGGCATACTGAAATGAATATATTGTGTCAAGCCAGAAAACACGGAATATTATTTTTCATGGGAGGGCCCAGAGAAAATACCACTCACCAAGGCTATCAGGAATGCACAGGTGAGAGGGAGCCAGCATCACCAAGAAGCTCAGTGGCAGCTCCCCTCCGCAGCCCAGGGCTAATGTCACAGAGTTGGGCCACTAATGTCCATGGGGAAGACGAGGCCCAAAATAATACAACCCAGGTTGCAGTGTTTAGTTGC